TACAATATTGGTTTTCAGGGTTATCGATTACTTTTATCGATTTTATCGATTTTTTTGCAAAGTTTGAGCTACGGGGCTGGGAGTTGGCACAGGGGGGTAATCGAGCATGGGGATTCCGAATACAATATTGGTTTTCAGGATTATCGATTACTTTTATCGATTTTATCGATTTTTTTGCAAAGTTTGAGCTACGGGGCTGGGAGTTCGCACAGGGGGGTAATCGAGCATGGGGATTCCGAATACAATATTGGTTTTCGGGATTATCGATTACTTTTATCGATTTTATCGATTTTTTGCAAAGTTTGAGCTAGGGGGCTGGGAGTTGGCACAGGGGGGTAATCGAGCATGCTGATCATCCCCAAGGGGGTGATCAGCATGCTCGATTACACCCCTGTGCCAAATTCCAGCCCCCTAGCTCAAATTTTGCAAAATCGATAAAATCGATAGAAGTAATGGATAATTCCAAAAACTAATATTGTATTCGTAATCTGCATGCTCGATTACCCCCCTGTGCAAACTCCCAGCCCCGCAGGTCAAACTTTACGAAAAAATCGATAAAATCGATAAAAGTAATGGACGATCCTGAAAACTAATATTGTGTTCGTAATCGGCATGCTCGATTACCCTTCTGTGCAAAATCCCAGCATCGCATGTCAAAATTTACAAAAAATCGATAAAATCAATAAAAGTAACCGATAATTCTGAAAACTAATATTGTATTCGGAATCCCCATGCTCACTTCCCCCCTGTGCCAACTCCTAGCCCTGTAGGTGAACTCTGCGAAAAAATCGATAAAAATCGGTAAAATCGACATCGATCGATAACGAAAAGTGGACTATGACACGCGCCGGGGCCCGAAGTGTATGTGTGCCAAGTTTGGTCCGGATACGGCGGAGCCGGGTAAGCCAGCTAGTATTATTATAAACAATATTCAGTAATACATTACTTTGCTATAAGTACGATAATTACTAACAATAATACGTTCTTACATGTACATTCGGCATTATAATAATCTAACTTTGATTCTCAAACTAATTTTCTGAAACATAACGCGACATATTACGACAATACAATACAACACCCTCCACTCCAATCTCAACGCTACTATCTACTACTGCTTGACTGATTGGTTGATTGATTGATTGATTGAGACATAAGGTCTGTGATAATGCTACACCACGCAAATTCACAGACACCGCCAGCAAGGTGCCAACATCTCAACGTGATACGGCACGCCGAGGTGCTAGCGCAAAAGAGTACATTATCTTTATGCTCTCTGACCTGCCGGCGACTCTCACCGCTAAAATTTCGACGAGATGCCGGCAAACTAGCTCGCAAAGTTGCCGGCACCTCCCGCGATTCTCACTATCTTTCTAGTGAGAGAGGGGTACTGAACTGTTAAAATTCGATATGGTTTGGTTTCTATAGAGTCGCGGTGGTATCTTCATCCAGGAATTTTGTGAAGGCGTTCGACGGCCTAAATGTGAAGTTTTGGTTCTTCACGACCGACCTCACGGAAAGCCGTGCAGTTTGAAAAGCAGTAAAGGAGTCCACTACTCCAAAATCTCTAAATCATTCTCTAATGCTGAATCTACACAAGATCGTTCACAGTTTCAAAGAGAACAGCACTGTGATTTTTATCGATGACTGGCTGGATTGCCCGGCTCCGCTGCCCTGTCAAAACACTACGATAAAGCTCTCATCCGTATCTCTGTACAATCTTTCCCTGTGCCCACGTCTAAATGCCATTTCCCTACTCCCGCTGTTTTAGTAATCAGCATGCTCGATTATCCTCATGTGCAACTCCCAGCTCCGTAACTCAAACTTTGCAAAAGAATCGATGAAATCATAAAAGTAGCGGATAATCCCAAAAACTAATAGTGTATTCGTAATCAGCATGCTCGATTACCCCCCTGTGCCATCTCTCAGCCCCGTAGGTGAACCCTGCAAAAAATCGACAAAAGCAAATAAAATCGATATCGATCGATGACGAAAAGTAGCCTATGACATCCGCCCCGCTCCGAAGTGTATGTGTGCCAAGTCTGGTCCGGATCGGTTCAGAAATGGAATTTTCGGTTCGGAACATACATACAGACATATACGCTGCTGCATGACGATGGCGCAATACCTTCGGATGCGAACGCGGCTTTATAAGCCGCAGAGCACATGATGCGCAGGAATTACAGCGTTGAGGGTTACGCGCGCGCCGCGTTGCGCCCGCTCAACTAAAACTGCTTCTGCGCCTTCGTCATGCAGTAGCCTTTACATACATACAGACAGACATTCAACTTTATATATAAGAAGAAATGATCTCTGAACTGAGGTTGACGGCCTACAATTGCAAAATGAGGATTGATCAGAGGAGCGTGAGCCGAGGAATTATTTGTTAGGTTGTTCCATAAGTTCGTAGCGTTTTTATAAACGAACAAAATCATCAATTTGCAGTAAAAGTCAGTCAAAATTAAATTCTTCGTTGTAGCGCACGACCTTTTGACACATTCTTGTTAGATTCTCAACCTCATTTTTTCAGACGGCCCGCGCCGGGTCCCAAGAAAGTCATCTAACTAGCGCTCACATTACTTACTGAAATCGAGAAAGGTACCATTCATGAGGTTTGCCAGAGAGCGGAGCAGATGATAATCTTATAGAGCGAGATCTGGAGAGTACTTTGGGTACTGAAGTACCTTCCATCAAATGGTGCAGGGCAGTTTTGACGACGTTTGCCGTATGAGGCCATGTTACGTCATGCAGAAAGGCTCACTAAGTCTGTCTGTTAGGCTTTTTCGGCGGTAGGACCTGGTTTAGACGGTGTAGTTGGATTGCTTACGCTATGGTTGATCATCGCCTACCTGTACAGCAATTTTCAGCGCAGGACGTCGTGCTCGTCCCCTGAAAAGTCTTGTTCAGGGACATCCTGCTCAGCCCCTGATCTTTTGTAGCAATCCAATGCTTTTTTGTCTCATATTGATGTGCGAGCGCCATGTTCCATAATCAACAAAAAAAATCTGTGCAAAAACGCTTCCCTTCATAAGGAAAAATGCACAAATGCCGAAATTGCCCTTTTTTACCTTTCAATATTTCCATCTTTGCAAGCTACGAAATCCGTTGAATCAACTTTCCGCCGGAATTAGTAGACATATTTTGAAGAGCACAGTCAGCCCTTCTCAATTATATACGCATCTTGCCGCAAATCAACCGCTCCTCAAAGGTATGAAGAGGAAAATGAAAACGCTACGAACTTATGGTACGACCTAATATTTTGATTCGTTTTACACTTTAATTTGACATTTGGTGCATAATATTTCCGGCTATGTTAAGTATTAGTTACTATTAATAGTGGGGTCTAAATTACTAATTCGATGCTTTGTTTGATCAAAACAATTTTGAACAGCCTTCGATAAAAGCCTTCTGGGTCATTCTACTTCCCACTATGCTTACAAAATGGACATACTTCTCCCCAAACTCCGATTGTGGTCCATTATAGCCTTCTGAAATGCGGCGGACATTATATGGTCGTAATGTCTTTGCGCTACAAATAGCTGTAATTCAACTGCAATTTTGGTCATTACTTTTACTCAGTTATACACTAATCGACATATTACACAGCAGCCCATTTTTGTTTATATAAATCAAATCAATGGCTAGCAAATTTCTGTCTGCATCGAATAGAGGTTTTGCATATCCAAGAGTCGTAAATAGATTTTGTACCGCTTGTATTTTACTCACACAAAAAGCAATGGAAGATTTATTATCTGTAAAGTCATTAGTAGTATCAAAATTACATGCAAATTAACAGCTTACTAGAAGCCAGTTAGAGCGAGCGAGTTTTTTTACTAACTCCAGATTCTTTGCCATTGCTTCTTGTTTAGTACGAAGATGGTCGATAGACGAACCAAGCGACATAAGTGCCGTAGATAGTTCATTGCTTGTATAGCTGTTAGGAGGTAGGATGGAGCAAGAGTTGCAGCCACACTGTTGATTCCAAGCATAGTAATAGAATACGATGAATTTTGATAATTTACAATACTAGACGCATATTTATAGCACATTCTCGCGCCATTAATTGAAAATTCGAATTTGAATTTGAATTGAGCTGCCTTCTGATCTATGACTGGGTAATGGGGGAGCAAAAGTTGGCTGTGGTCCACGTCGGGCATCTCGCGGCTGGAGGGTAATGCACATAGTTACCATCTGTGGAATAGGAATGTTGCACTAGTCTCAAATTTAGACTGCCACCAATTCACTTCTGATTCATTTAGTGGCAAGGTCATGCACCACCCCTCTGACATCAATAGTCGGTAATATTTATTGAACAAAGTGAAATCATGCAAATGATATATTTAGAGTGCAATATAGAAAATATATGCACAATGTAAATCAAATCGCTTATCAGAGGTGTACCGCGACATTTTGCGGCAATACTTTTCCACTATATTGGTATTCCGAGCTAGCTTGTCTATTTCGGCTTTCTTCATAAACAGCCATGGCACGGTCCACCTTCTCTCTTCAAATACGATCGCGCTTCCTCATAAATCTGTCTCCAGTGCGGAACAGGTCCATCCTGACCAATTTTGCTTTAGCTACAAATGTTAGGCTTCGCAAGGCAAGAAAAATGTGCCAGCGGGGGGTACTTCTTGCCGATAATCCTTCTTAGCCTTCTAAATTGAGAGTAGATTTACACAGTCTAGAAAGGAAGCTTCTTACCCGTCAATTTTCGGCTGTGTTAGTCTTCCCCTACTCATGAACCAGGTGCTTGCTCCACATCCCTTCGAAGGGGCCGGAAAGCCACATTTGGCGGAATTAACGCAGGAATTCATTGCATGCTCGGTGCCCAGGGTGATCCCGTCTTACGGGCGACCTTCTCAATGCTTTCACAAAGCCAAAGCAGTCCCGTGGTAAAAACGGGAGCCCTTTCAGTTTTTTCCACCAGCGGAGCACGCGTCTGTTCCGTCCTACGTCCTTTAGATATTGAAGTAGTCCAATGCTGTTTTTTTCCTCATTCAAGCTTGGCTTAGGTGCCACAAACAGTCCTCAACGGTACAATTCAGGAACGTTGTTCTCGCCGCATTTATTGTTGCCTGAAAGGGAATTTTTCGATTGTAGTAGTATTGAAAACGGGGTTCACAAACCAGCTCGAAGTTCACCACAATGCCGAGTTCTGGTCCTGACGACTCCAGGCTGGCAGCACACAAGAACTCTTTTAGTTTCTCGAAAACCACGATGTAATCCTGCTCGCTCTTGTTCCTCATTATACCGAATAACAGAGGGATCTGTTATAAGCATTTTCTGGTTTGAATATTAGAATTTTGGCATAGAATATTATAGAATATTGCGCACCGTAGTTCGATTGATAGTAGAAGTTGCTTGAGAGAGAGTAGTAGTCGTTGAAAGACATGGTTATCATTACAATGGCTCCCGTGTGTATTCATATACCTTCTCGATATATCAAAGACTGTTATCAAAACTACCTGCCATTACAGACCAAATCCCACTAAAATGTTCTATAGTCCTCACTGCTCGATCTTACAGTAAACTTGACAATTGCGGCCACTTCTTCACAAATATATTGGATTAGGATTCACTTTTTGTTATCTATCATGCTCGGCTATTCCCGCAGCCCGCACGGCTTCGAATGAGACCAGCAAAGGGGTGGAGAGATGAGCGAAGCTTGACGCTTAACGTGTTGCGCGGAGGTGCGAGCAGCCTTCTGGAGTGTGAATGGAGGTGCAAATGGAGGTGCAAATGGAGGTGCTAGGAACTCCTGCGTCCCCTCCTAAAATTCATGTTTGAGAGCTCATGTTGCAAGAGCAGGTGAATGGAGTATCGAAGCAATCAAAACGACCCGAACAGAAAGGAAAAAATCAACATAACATCAATTTTGGTCCCATACATTCATAATTTTTGAACTTCATCTGCCTAATTTTCCTCATCGAAAAAATACACATCGTTATCATTCCTCGCACTGCTCGCACTAGACGAACTCGACTGCGTTTGGCAGTCCTTCATCGTCTTTTGTGGTCGCCGAACGCGGCTGTTTAGAGTTTCTTTTTTAGCCTTCTTTCAAGCTGATTCTCGCAAGTGCGCTGAGATTTCGTAGTATTTATTGAGGCACCAAAATATCATTTACCGTAAATAAAAAATTTTTCAGTAGAAAAACCTGTTGAAGAAGAAGAGCACGCGGTCTTTTGTGGGCGGTCGACTGTCCACGATCAATTCTAATTTCGTCGTCATCTTTGTGAACTTCCGTTTCGAAGGCTAGTACAAAATGACTCATAAACCTTTCAACTGACGAATTTCGGCAACACACTTTGCAGTGGCCCAATTGTATGTAATCCATCTTTGAAGCAAAGAAATAATTTAGCTTTTGATAATCCCAAAAAATCCTTGTGCTTGTATGGTTGGTATACGTTTTAGCGTCTCTCGTTATTTTTCGTTCTGTAAAACAATCTGCATAAGGTGTGCGTGCACTTCCAATCTTTTCTTCTTATTTGCCACCAGAGTTGATAGCATATCTTCCATTTTCGCAGCTCTTGTCATCAGCTCCTTGATCTTTTTTTGTCAGGAGTTCTTTTATCTTTTTTAAGAGGGAAATTTGCTAGGTACCATCACTTTATCCGTCTTTTTCAAAGTCGCTTAGACTTACACTGGTGATGTGAAACTCACCCTCCAGCAAATCTTCCTCCTAAGTAACTTTATTAGATTTAATCTCACAGATTTTTTGTGTCCAATGTAGAGTACCTGAAGATGTTATTAACATAAGTGAAGATTTGACCAGATCAGAAAAGCTAATCTCCAAATAAAAGTCAAAACTTCAACTTGTACTCACTTTGGCTTTATATCGTCGTCCATTCAACCGGAACTTGACGACATCTCCGCAGTTCGATCCTTGTGGAATAGCAGAGTTCGGGACAACTCCTCTAGTACGACTGATCGTGTAGAAAACGAGAGCTGATGACATCACCTGACTTATGCTAAACTGGTCATTTAACTCACATTTATATATGCGGCAGAGGCCTGAGGGAAAGGCTGAAAAAGTTTCTGACTCTCCGCCACGCCCATTTACTTGCGTATATAAGTAGAAGAACTCTGAGCAGACTTTCCTGTGAGCGCGATCTCGTATTACTTTTTTCCCTCTTATATCTCTTTTCTAATGGCATTTTATTATTTTGTCGGTTCTCACTGTGACGTCTAATTCTCACTTTAGATGAGAACCCGTTGTCATTCCCACAAAGTTTACTCTCATATTGGAATAATTGTGGGGCTGAAAGAACAGGGAAAGTCCGTAGCCACGGTTTCAAAGAAGTGCAGAAGTTGAGTTTCAATTTCATACTCAAAAAATCTCATTTATTTTTTCGATGAATCTAGGCTATTAATTTAGTCCGACCCAACTATAATATATCTACCAGATGCTAAGGAGATTTCTAAAAAAATTTGAGAGTTCATATATTCCAGAATTATCGTTTGCTTCAAGATCGCTATCAAGTTTGCGATATCAGTTTCTATTTCTCTCAATTATTGAATCATTTAATTATAAACCTTTATGAAGAGATCAGATCAGGAATTGATCGCTGTTGTTCTCATAGTAGCTCTACAGCGGCCAAAGATGTGAAAGCAAGGCTGGCAAGAAGAGGAATTAATGCGAGCGTAACCCATAACAAACGTCTAAGGCAACGGGATGATTGTGTAGGATTACTACCAAGTACCTAAAATTCAAAAAAATCCATTTCAATAAAGTTAAGAGCCTGCGACGTTTTCGTGGCAGATCAATCCGTCGAAACCCCTCTGAAGCAGTTTAGGAAATGTGTTTTGAAATTTTCTTGTTTTTAGAGTCGCCCCCTTCTGAACATTCCAAAAGTCTCATTAGATTTGCAAAAACCTGGTTTGAAGGATTCTATTAGCTTCCGGAGATTTTTTGTTGATTTAACTGCCGCGGAGAAAAAAATCTTCCCCTAGCGTTTTTTACGTTGGAGGCTGCATTGTACTCGGAATGATCAACATGCTTACCTATGGAACGCCTTAGCGATGTTGGTGGTCCTTAACTACTCGTGTTTCCATTTGCACCATCTATTCGCGTAAACACCAGCTAATCAAACGTTACGCAGATAGTTTGGGAAGTGCTACAGGCTTCGTGGGCTACTCGGCCTGGACTCACTGGCGGCGAATTGAGCGAGAGTGTCAATCAAGTGTTTGGGTAAAAAAACCATTCCTTCTAAAGTCTTCCATCAGTTTGAAAACGCCCATCTTTTGATCCTCTGACAAAGCTTCGGAGTTGTAGTTTTGCAGATTTGCGATTTCACGCTTGGGCAAGGTGGAATGCTCATCCTTCGGTGGATGCCTTTGGTAAAACTTCTCTAGCTGCGCGAATTGAGGCCTGAAGCGGGCAGCTTTTATTGTTTTCCGGACATACTTTGTTCAAACTCACCTTTTCGTAGTCTAGGATAAGGCGAATGTTCCTAGTATTCAGCACTCCATTGAGTAGGGTGAAGATTGTTCTGTACGTCTCCGAAGTTTTGAAGTGGGATATTGCATATAGAATTGGAATCCAAACATAAGTTCGAAATGCTGCACTGATTTATCAAAAAACCGAACGTTTTGAAATTCGCCTGGCTTGGAGAAGGAAATAAATTCGTTATGTTCACAGTATTGTTTGTTTGTTGATAAGCGAGGAAAACGCCGTAGTCAGGTTCCTTGATTTCTGCATGATTGGGCATTTCCAGTAAACGATGGCAAATCAAATGCTGTAACTTACCTGATTAGGATTACAATCAAAAGGCTAGTGTTGCTGGGAGCCCATACACTTTTCAATGAAATCTCTGACTAGACATACCAACAGATTTAAGCCGCTTTCTGTTGTTTATGCACTTTTTGTTGTCGACCCCCTTTTGAGGTGTGAGAATGAGGGTTGTAACCTTCTGCGTTGATGTTGCTAAGAGGAACTGTAAATTACATCATATCTTAGACTCAACAGAGTTTTTTTTTTGCTTTTTTCTGTTTCATTCCAAAGCATACCCTCATCCGGAATCTGGAATATAGCTCTTTGATGAAATTCTCATTGATTGGAACAAGCTAATGCTCTAATAGACTAATCGGTCACATGCTCTCCCATAAACCGATGACTGATGAGAAGTTCACTTCGAAACTCTTCTTCAATCGGCTTCGACGTTTTATTGCCAAAAAAATATCTGAGGCAGTTTTTTGAGACCAGGGATTATTCCGTGCAGCTTATTAACCAGAAGCATCACCGAAAATGCGCTTGCATTGGAATCCTAGCCCTTTGGTCTATCGGAATTTTACAGAATTCAATTTTCCGCTTATTCTCTTTCCGATCAAATTATACGATTTTTTTTACAAGATTATGTGAGCTGTAGAAGCTTTAGCTTGTTTTAAACTCTCAACGCACAAATTTCTCTAATTTTAAAACTGGTAAGAAGAAAAGGAGCAGTATAAAAAACGATGCGTGCAAACTTACGCTTTCAATCGCAAAATTTTTTTGATTACCTCGAATTGTCTTTTTTCTGTGGATCGCAAGCCCCAGCGATTTGGTGAGCTAGTGTGAGCTGTTGCAGTTATGATTAGGTGTACCGTCAGTATATGCCACTAATTGACAGCTGCGGAGTCTTTTCACCTCCGCTGTGTACTTAGTGCCCGCCCACATAAGTAAATATGCTCATGATGACTTCACATAACGTTGTAAAATGGCAAAGTCTTCGCACGGCGTGGCTACCTAACTCCACGCACCCATTCTGAATTGGTAGCCTGCTTCTGTTATAGTCTGCAGTATTGGGGTCTGATAGGCCTTCTAAGGACAAAGACAAATGGGTCAGTGGATAATTTATCTAATGGCTTATATTAGGTCGTCCCGAAAGTTTTGTCGGTTTTTTCAGACCACTATAAAACCGCGCTCAATGAAGATCTGAAAGAGCTTCAGAATGTTTTCGATACATCTTTTCCTTCTCTTTCTTGTGGTTACATTTTCGAACCAGAATCCTGTATGCTTTCTTTTATAATTGCTGAAATTCTTCACCCGTTATTTTTTTCTGCTCAGAGTTCGGCCAATTTTTGGAAATTTCATTTCGAAGTTTCGGAAAGGGTTAAGTAAGGAATAAATAGAGCAATTCGCGGACTACAAGGCGATATTTTTGGATTCCACTAGTCTGCTGATTTTCGCTTCAAAAAGTTATTTCTTCGGAGGTCTCGATTTTTGGCAAAGTCATAAAACACGCAACTGCAGCAAAAACATAAAAACTTCTGAAGTTTCTGAAAATTGCAACATGATTCTTATTGAACACTAATTGTGCAACATTATCCAGTTTGACTCGCTTTGAAAAAGCAGCTTTTTGGAATTTTCGGTACTTTTACGTGGCAAACGTAGTCAAAAAGCCACGGTTTTCATTAGATAAATAATTATAACGGATTTGGTAAACGTAACCCACGTAATCTAAAATGGGTACATTGTAGCTAAAGCTTTGCTCTACATAACAGTCACCAGCGTTCCTTAGAAGTGTCAGGAGAGAAATTTTAAAAATTCATAAAGGTTTGGCGTTACTGTTGAGCTGCTCAAAAAGCCATGGCGGTAACATTGCAAAGACAGGGTAGGTCAGAGAACAAATATAGCTGTAAGAAAGAGGATGAAAATCTAAACCAAATGGTACCTAGAACGTTAATGGAATGGTGTTCTGTGAGTTTTAGTGAGCGATGGAAAAAACCGACAAAACTTTCGGGACAACCTAATATTTACCTGATAGCTCAAACTACAAGTTGCGTACTGATCAAAAGTGATTTATTTCGATGTGGCTCGTTTCGGCCGGATGGGCTGTGTTAGGTGGTTGATGCTTGGTGATTGGTGGTGGTAATGGCGGTGGCGGTGGTGGAAGCATCAAGGTATTCGTCGCTTGTACCCATGGTTCGGTGCACTTCTGTCGGCAACAGCAGCACATTGTGTGGTCGCTCACACTTTGCGCACTGTATGCCGCACTGTCCTCAGGCTGTAGTGACTTGAGGCATTTCTCGCAGTGTCCGAGCCTGGCTTGAGCTGATATAGCCTTGGATTGGGACATTTGTTGCATCGAGCAGTCGGGTGCGCATCTTTTTCTCCTCAATGGTACCGCGATAAAAGTTCAGAACACGATATGTCAATTCTATTCCTCGCTCTTCCAGGCTGTCGACCACCTAGCTATGTCATCTGTTGCACGACGACTTGGACTTGATGTCGAACGATGTGTGATGTGTTGAGAATTTAGTGCATCATGGTCGCGGCGTCAACGTTGTCGAACATGATGATAGTCGTCTTTGCATGCCTGCTCGGTCTCCAGTGCAGTCTTTCTGTTCCACGGGTATAAGGTTAGGCTACATTTGCATTATAATTATTTACGAGGACGCTTGTTGCGTTTGGAAGGTAACTTACAGAGCTCATCGCTTCTTTGTATGCTCTTTTTGTATCTGAGCTGTAGTAAACATTGAGACTTCCTAGGTTTGCTTGTATATGTATTCTTTATTGGTGAATAATTGCAAATTTCGAAATATACCTGAGTAGTAAAAGAAAATAAGTCTGTTGTGGTCACAATAATGTCCGTTGGCTGACAAAATGTATCGATGTCGAAACTGAGGTTTCCTGAATGCCTGCAAGTTCAATCATTACTTTCGAATGATTAGGGACTTTTGAAATTAACCTGGGTGGAAGAAGAATTAAAGGATCGACAAGTGGCTGAGCATTAGATACGTCCGAATGAGAAATGAGCGTTAGATACGTCCGAATGAGAAATCTGATTAGATATTATCAATATGATTTCAGTGTCTTTCTTTTAAATTGTACACTTTTATTGATTCATCTCGTTTTTATGTGTGAGAAGAAGGGCTATAGACCTTTTGCGTCGATGTTGCTATAACGTTGTTGGGGCAAGGTGAACTACATTACTGTAGACTCTTGAGGCTAACTGACATTGCCCGGTTGCTAAGGTC